GTTGAAGTCTAGGGCTCAAGAACTCATCTTTTCTACCCAAATTCATGAGGAATCTTCATCTAAGGTATGGTAGTTTTGATTCATGGTTAACTTTTCATCCATGAAGTCCTTAAACTCTTAATTTCAAAGTAGAATAGTCTCCAAAACCTAGGGTTTTCAGTCCAAGTCATGGATTCTTTCTAAAAACATTTTTATGATTTAATTATCTTATTTTATTGTTTAGTTTATTTTTTATGGTGGTTTTATGATAAAGTCTTCCATGAATCCATGAATTACCCTAATTTCCCAAATTGGATCTTAAAGTGTGCATGTTGATTGTTATTAGTAGAATGTTATAGAATCCTGAATATAATGAAGTGATTACTTGAATTATGTATTAATTAAGGAATTTCTATAGTTTTGATGTTTAATTTCCTCCAAGAACCCATGAAACCCCATGTCCCCAATTTGTGATTATGTGATGTGGGTGAATTGTGGTGAGATGAATAGTATGAGATTATCTTGTAGTAGTTTAGTTATTTGATTCATGTTACCATATACATCTAATGTAGTAATTCTAGATTGATTGGTTGAATGTTAGTTATAACCTTGAAGGGCAAAACATGATAACTAGCTATATGTATGAGACTTGTGTGTATACTATTAGATTGCTTTGAGAGTAAAGTGCTTATATTATGATCTAATTGTGGTGTTGATTTGATGATTATCCTTACTTGCACACTTAGGTATGAATATCATACAATGTGAAAGGTTTGTCACATATAGTGATTCTAAGGGTTGAAGACTAGTCTCCCATAATGAATTTAAGAGCTTTAGCATGAGTTGTTGGATTCAGTGTCAAGACACTCTTCCTTAATTATCAATTTAAGTCAAGACTTAATATAACCTCAATGGGAATGAATGCTTAGCACCGAGTCGACATGAATATAAGATGGAAGCTTTTACACTAGTTGAGTCTGACTTCCCAAATGGGTTCCTTTTACACAAGTTGAGTCCGGGTTCCAAAAGTAGTTGTCTCATGAGATGGAAACTTTCTACCATAGTTGAGTCTGGGTTTATAGAAGAAATCTGCTTATCCCATAAACTATGTGTCCACATAGGTCTTTAGCTAGTGGATCCACGTAAGCTAAGAGTTTTGGTTCTACCTTAGGCAAGTAGGACAACCCCTTTTCGGGGTGGGTAGTTACCGGATTCCATAATTATGCTCTCATGGTCTATGTTGGTTTAGGCTAATCCCACTATGATAGAATGAACTAGAATTGGATTTATGAACTATATTCACTTCATAAGCTTTCCTTAGTGTGGGTAGGAGTATAAGATCGTATTCATACATTGCACAAGGATGCTTTGATGGTTCTTATGGGTTGTTTCCATTATGATGAGATGATTAATATGTTGAATACGCTTGCATCTTATGCTTTTGCACTTATTTTTCATAATGATTCTTAACTTGGTAAAATGCATAGTTTTCACTTAAAATGTCCCTTTTTAGCATGTTTAAAGGTTTTCATGCATAGCTACCATACTTAGTGCATTTTTGTACTAACCCATATTTTTTCTACATTTTTCTACCAAGTGTAGGTTCCGGCATTTGAGGTGATTCCTTCTAGTTCAAAGCTTGGATTAACTATTCTCCAAAGCTTGTGGTATGTCCTCATAGATCCGAGGACAAGTGCTATATTGTTGTTTCGTTTCTTTTATTGTACTAGACTTTCATATTTCCTACTGTAAGGGCTATGACCCTATTTTTGAGACTTCGATTGTAATAGATGGTTAAATGAGACTATGTCTAGACTTCCACTTTATGTTTTTACCCTTTATTATTCTTTACTTATGTGATGATAAGCTAAGTGTCTTACATAGTGCCTTTAGGGGTATTATGTGCCATGTTATGTCTAGGGGGTACCCTTAGGTCGTAACAAAATTGGTAATCACAGAAAAATGTTTAGAATGATTCTAGGATGAT